ACAATACACTTTCTGATATGATTCTAATTCGCCTTTACTGGCTGGCTATTGTATGCTTAATTTAATGGATTTACAATTGTAGAGCCTGAAGAAGAAGAATTTATTTTGTGAAACCACAATTGTTCGCTTTAACTAATTTCTTCTGAATAAATTTTGGCAATATTCAAGTTGGGGTAGAATTATATGCCAACACTTTTCCATATTTCTGCTCACATCTAAACTGAGTGAAAGGTAGTAAGTACCTGATGAAAATTTAATGGGAAGTATGTTACTTCATCACTTATGTTAGAGATCCTCTATCAACAAAACTAATTTAGGAAATAAAATGCTCGTTAAAGTTCAGCAGGTCTGGTAGTATATGACTTCGATGTCTTATGCATGAATCAGAATTTGAATTTAAAAAATAATATCTAGTCATCTCTGAACAGCTTAGCGAAACGCTAACTAATCTCAACACTTTTTCCAATCAATTATACCATAGTTTTTACTTCATGACTTCTGGTTTTCAAAATATTCACACATCTCTTCTAATATGTTAACGGAAAATAATCAACATTACCGTATTTACTTAGTTTTAAGAAACTAATTCTTAATTCCATTAATGCAGGGTAACAGGTCAATTTCTTAACAGTTTACCAATTAAAAGAACTGTCTGTTACGTATTTTAAAAGCCATGAAAAATTAATAGATGTGCAAAACTTGAGCACTGTAATTAGATATATCACACAGAGTGAAACAGCATTACTATTTACTAGTGGATGACAAAGTTTCGAACACAATTCATTATTCTTCATAATCATATCATCAATTGTTGCTGTACAACTTTGAAACTTTCGCCTTATAGTAGTTTTCTGCCTAATCGTCAATGGAGTAGTAGAACACTTTCCAGATGTTTGGGTGGAGAGCTGTTGATTCACTTCTTCTGCGTGTATTTTCAGTTGGTTCGATAAGTAAAACTCCCGTCATCTTCATATGTTTACTACCTCTGGAGTGCGTAACCATTTCAGACTGTCCTTGGCTTTAACTAAAGCCGTATTTTCTAGGGAAATAATTGAAATTGAATCGCGGTGGGTGCGTACTGTTGAAGAGTCCCAAACTAGGACGAAACAGCTGTCCAGCACTCCCAGGTTTCCCAATGGTTCTCTAACTAATGTCAGCTCATGATGAAAATCCTGTAACCAATCAAATCCCTACAAACCAACACTTGAATTGAAAATATCCTTTTTGTTACCAGCTGAATTCTCTGTATGCATGTATTTCTATAACTTGAGAATTAGTCACTGTAGGCTAGATGTCATTCGCTTGTGTGAAGTTGCATGTAGTGCTACAGATGAGCTGTCCCCCATGTTCCTTATCTTATTCACGCTTCCAGGGGAAATAAACAAACAAAATAAGGGAGTCGCTATGGAGTCGCCAATATCTCCGATAGTGGCAGATATATTATTCATGCATAGTTGGGCGCTGTAACATCTGAAACGTCCAGCCACACTCCTAAATTATAGTGGATGCATGTAGATGGAACATTCACCGTGTTTAAAAAACAGGACATCAATAGATTTTTAGAACACACCTACTCGAAGGTGGGGGCAATTCAATTCATTTATGAATTGTAAAGTCAAGATGGGGAGCTTCCAATGTTAGACTCTAGCATGTGCCTTTTATATATAAAACCTCTGTTATGTTAATTTTGATTAATTTTCCTGAAGAAGTTCGGACCAGATTGCCGAACGAAACGTTGGAATTACTTATTTCACTATCGCTGAGATTTTACAAATATAATTTTTTACAAATGTCTACTTCTCACTCGGCGCCCAAATATTTTAGAACTATTCTGTCAAATCTTGACGACAGTTCATTTGAAAAAATAATTGCCCTGATAAATTAATCAGGAAGTATGTAGCTAAATATAAAAATAAAATTAGTAATAATAAAAGTGGCAGCAATGCTGATAGTAATAATTATAATAATAATAATGACAACATGCATGACAAACATACCCAGAAGGATGGCAACATCAACAATAAGGAATTTTAATTAGCAGTAGCTCTTCCACACAGAGAACGAACCTCGGAAACCTTACGGAGAATTCTTAACAAAGCAGGAATAAAAGTGTCATTCACTTAGAAACAAACTCTGCCGGTCAAACGATTCTGTGGAGCCCACTGAACAAAAGAACTTAGTTTATCTGATACGCTGCAATAATGATTATCAGGTCAATTACATAGGTCAAGGTAGTAGCACGAGGTCAGTCAGACTAGCGGAGCTGGAAAACCTAGCCAAATCTAGATTAGTTAACACGAATAAGGTACCATCAAGTGACATCACTAGACAAGACCTCGAGTGGAACCCAAAAGGGAAGCGGCGAGTTGGTCGTCCAGGCGTGACTTGGAGGAGGTGATGTGAAGAGGAGATGAGAGCATGTGGGCAGCCTTGGAGCCAGGTGAAAACTGTAGCAGAGAACCGAACGCAATGGGGACACGTGGCTGAAGCCCTATGTTCCTCTAGGAATTAAAGGAAACAATAATAATAGCACGAATAAGATAAGAAATCTGGAGAATAGTTCAACCAAATCACTACATGCAATTACACACAATCATGCAATAGGATGGGATAATATAACAGTTTTAAAATGGAATGTAACAGGGTGGGGAGGATAGATTGATCACGGAAGCTTTATTGATCGAGTCGAGTGAAAATACATGCGCAAGAAATGACCCAGAACTTGCCCACCTGGACATTTCGAAAGTGTCCTACTACCCCATCGACGACTAGGGAGAAAACTACTACAAAATGAAAGTTTCGAAGTTGTGTAGCTACAATTGATGACATGATTATGAGGAATAATGAATTGTTTTCGAAACTCTGTCATCCACTAGTAAATAGTAATACTGTTTCACTTTGTGTGATATATGCAGATGACCTGACTGTTTCGCTTCCCATGAAGTCTCAGTCAGATTGTTTCAAATTAAATAGCTTCCTGTCGGACATCAGTCAGTGGTCTAAACTAAATGGCCTCATGCTGAATCCCTCAAAATGCCAGACTTTCGACTTCTCCCTTAGGCATAAACGAGATCTACAAACACTTGTAAATTCTCATGAAGCCTGTTGCATTGAGGGGACTAAAATTGAAACTAAGTCTGATGCAAAATACCTTGGTCTAGTTCTATCTTCCGACTTTACTTGGACATCTCATATCCTAACGATTTCTAAGAAAGTGTTCTGTCTAACATACTACATTAAGAAACTTAGACAATCTGGAATCACCCAACCTCTACTTTCACAATTTGTCAACTCTTGTATCTTACCTATTCTACTTTACTGCTCCCCGTTAGTCTTTCCTGGGCTACTGGAAAAGGACTATGCCATCCTGAGAAGGATGTTGAAGGTAGTTAGTAGGACCAGTGGTGTAAAACTCAGTCAGCTCGTCACTACATTAGTTGAAAGGCATCTGAATACATGTGAAAAATGGTCAAAAACCATACTCTCCGACCCCCAACACCCCCTCTATTCCCAACTCTTGCCTTGTATCTCATCAAGTAGAACCAGAAATCAGTATAAAATAATCTATGCTCGTACAACCAAGTACAGGAACTCAACGATACCATACTTGGCCCATGTTCTAAGTGACAGAGACAATGTTAAGCGCGAAATCTATGACTTGGTTTGTTGTTAACATCATAATTTTAGTCTCTTTTATTTCTCTCTTATTTTGTATTCTTTAGTGAACACCTTCTTAAACATACTTAGCTACCTAAATTATTAACATTGGCTTCCTTTTTTGTACTTTACTCTATTCCTTCTTTCGTGTATCTACTAGTTGTGACTATATTAGCACTATGAGTAGTACAAAATTGTCCTGTCATTAACCATCATGTAATTGTGGTGAGAGCTGTCTACTAGCCAAATTGGTAGACAGTAATTTACGTCAATATTTACGTTCCCAAGATTTGTCGTGAGAAAATGTGAACAAAGATTGATTCAAAACCGACTACAGCAGACTTTGCGTAGGCGGATGCAGTTAACATATAGATGATCTGACATTCAAGAAACAGTCACAAATAGATGAAAGATTAACTTTACGTGAGAAACAACCAATCGGAAGACTGTGTTTGTTTGCTTAAATAACCATAGTAATGTACATGAAAATATATAAATATGCTTTGATTTCCTTAATAAATGATCTGTTGCCTGGCCCTTGTCTTCTGTTGTTACATAATTATTAGTTTTTGTGGTTGTTGCTTTTTTTGTTTGTTCGGCAATATTAACTGACAATCTTGGTTGTGAACGCCATTATCATCATCTTAAAATTTTGTATTATGCAGGATTACTCACACTACCACCCCAAACACCGCATTAGACCTGACAATAATAAAAACCCTGAAATGTTATTTTACGATTGTTAAGTGTTGTTTCAACCAAATTAACTGACCATCTTGGCGATAAACATTCTTAAATATCATTTCATAACTTCTTGTATGACTATAGCTTTGCTGTGACCACGCATAAACATATCATAGCTTCCACTACCCAATACTGAGATATTATTTATAATGTTGTTTATTTTCCTTTCTACTTCTTGGTATTTTTTCACTTTTTTAAAATTATTTTTGTGTTTTTTTTGTTGTTGTTGTCTTTATACTTATTTTTTGAAATACTCCTTTTAAATGTTTGATAAAATTAGATGCAAATATTGTAGATATGTGCTGAAAATTCCACACTGTACCACTAATACTGTTTCTGGAATAAAGCAAATTATTATTATTATATATAGCCAATAAACAAAGTGTAGTATGGGACCGACATACTAATAGTGAAATAAAAGTTAATTCGTTGCCTAACTCTTTTTCCTTTGATTCATATAAACAACAAGGAGAGAAGTAAAAACTCAAATACACACTGTTCAATACATCTTTTAGTATATTGGACAATGAACTTATTACCGATAGGAAAAAAACAACAAACAATGAAATTCAACATTAACGTTACAATTTTATTCATCGCATCATTCTATGAATGCATTGATTGTAAGCATTATCATGCCACATAATAATCATTTAGTTTTATTAAATATGTATTTACAACTATTAAGAGGGCTTTTTAAAATTTCACGTTACTATAGTAACTGTTCACTATCATTAGAATGCTTTGATGATTCTGGCAATTCTCGAGCTTCAGCCAGTTCAAACTGTCTTGATTGTTGTGCCGCTTCAGAAGAAGTCGTTGACTGGTGTTGATTTAACAATGGTCTGGTTGATTCACCATCCTCTTTACTAACTGCATTCTCGTATTTTTCACACCCTTCAATCTGTCCTTTTCTACCGTTGTCATTATCCTGTTTTGTGGATTCTGTTGTGGTTGAATGTGATTTTGTATTCGCTATGTCTACAGGTCTGGAATCATCAGTCTTTAAACGACTAGGTGTTCGCTCATCTTTAGCCATGAGACTGTCAGACAATAAACATTTTTGATCACTCTTATTACTATTATTATTATTATAATCATTATTGTTTCCTTCACCCAGGGAAATATTTCTTATCACCTGAGGCTTTTTCCTCCTTCTTTTCCCCTTTGATGAATAATGCTGTTTATGCCTAGTGAAAAAGCCACAACAATACAACAGAGCACTTAACAGCATTAATATCAGTAGGCCAACAGTTATACCAACCACAATCGGCCATAATGGCATTTTATGCGTTACTTTCAATTGAACACTATGAAATATAATTGATTGTTTAATTTCAAAATAATTATTATTATCTGTCGGATATCTAATATCTATAAATTTGTTAGTAGTATTCTTCTTCGCCTCATCATTTTGATGAAGATTTTCTTGAATGCTTTGATAAAGTTTAATCATGGCGGGTAAATCACCCCAATGTTCAATATTCAATCTACTAATGAATTGTATATCAGATTTGTGTAGTTTAAAAAATGTTTCAGCCCATAACCAACCAGTCCATTGAATTCTTACTGTATCTCCAGCCTGTAATTGATTTAAATTACACTTAATATGAATACATTTAATCAGATGGGTGTATTCAGTGGTTTGAAATTGCTTGGTTTTATTTATACTGTCCATTAAATATGGACATTTGAGTATTGTTCTACCTTTATGAGCACGTCGTAATGAGGAAGGATTTAAACTGGTCGATGTTTCACGTAGAAATTTCCCTGTATGTTGTTCGCTAGATAACTGTGGTTTTGTATGAAAGTCAGCTGTTCTTTTAAATCGTTTTCTGATTCTGATACGTGGATCGTGGGCGGATTTTCGGGATCTTTCATCTGTAAAATAAATATAAAAGAGAGGAAAAAACAATGAAAATGACATGTGTTACTTACAAGATTCATCAGTAGTATTCATATGACATGTGATCAAGATTTGACCGGATAGTTTTGCAAAATAATTTAGCACCGAGTGAGAAGTAGACATTTGTAAAAATTATATTTGTAAAATCTCAGCGAAATTGAAATGATTAATTCCAATGTTTCGTTCGGCAATCTGGTCCGAACTTCTTCAGGGAAATTAATCGAAATTAACATAACAGAGGTTTATATATGAAAGGAACATCTCTTGTGTTTTTGAAACTTTGTCCAGTCATGAGTCATAAAACAGGCATCAACATGTTGTATAATAAACAAACAAAATTGTGTGCTTATATATAAAAGATATCTCTTGTTTTTAATTGTTTGTCTTGTCATATGAAACATGAAACAGATATCAACAGGTAAAATAAACAAAATTGTATGAACTGTGATCAAAATTTGACCTCAGACTTTCAACATTAGTCTACTTTTGTTAAAAATATATGTGTGTATGCAGTATACAATGGTGCGTGTGTATGTGTGTGTGGGTGAACAGCCATAAAACGCTTGTTAGAGAATCGGGAATTCGCCCAAGTGTGACTATTGTTGATACATATCCAATTTTTTATTTATTAGTCACGATTTGCCATGCATCAGCTAACAACACACCTTCAGGTCTGTTCAAACTTTTGGGATTCACCCATATATGTAGTGCTTCTGCAGTCAGTCTTTCTTTATATGAACCAAAACCTTTCTGTAGAACCTTAGTCCTATCAAAGTCGGTTTTATGTCCCGTTTCTATCGAATGCAGTACAATCGCTGAGTTGTTTTCTAGCTTTTTCAAGTCTGCAGAGGTCTTTGGAACCACCTTTGGACATTGTTTATGCTCTTTCACTCTTATATTTACCTGTCTGGAAGTTTCTCCTACAAATACGGCGTTACAATCCCCACAATTGATCTGGTATACACAATTCTGCTGATTTTCTTGTTCTATTTTATCCTTAACCTTCATCAGTAATGAGCGTAAGGTGTTAGTTGCTCGAAAATACACTCTTATGTTATGATCGTTAACGATTCGCTTTATTTCATCGGATGTTTCTTTGCGGTAAGGAATCACCGCTGTACTAACCCAAGTCTTAGCAACAGGTTTTGATTCATCCTTATCTTCACATTTTAAATATCTCTTTATGGAGGATTTTGGATAATTATTTGATTCAAGAGTGGATTGAACCAATTTGAATTCCTTGCTAATATCTTCCTCCTCAGTAACTAGACCTTTGGCTCTGTTGATCAGATTCTTGGCCACAGATACTTTGGTGGTAAATGGGTGAGCTGAATAGTAATCTAGGTATCTATCCGAATTTGTCGGCTTTCTGAAAATGTTTATTTTAAATTTGCCATCTAGTTTTCTTCTTACTAAACAGTCCAGGAACACCGACTCGTTCTCATCGGATTCAACCTCTTTGGAAAACTTGATAGTTTCTGACATATTGTTCAGTAAGTGAAAGAGTTAATTTAACAAACTACGTTTGATTATGACAAAGGTAATCATCTACGTATCTTAACCACATCTTTGGAGGACTAGGGCATCTCATAATTGCATTTGTTTCGAATGAGTGCATAAACAGATTGGCAACATGCGGAGATACTGGTCTCTCCAGTATATAGAGATACATTCGTCAGCTTTAAAAAAAACACCAAATAGCAGGGAAATAGATTTGATATCAGAGAAAGCAAATGATACAGAGTTGTGGAAATGCATGGGAGACGTGAAAAGAACACAAAGAAACACAATATGAAGGGAGGCGAGAAGTAGCACAACACGGGAGATCTGTGCAGATGATGATTTGACGATAAGGTGTACATAATTTGGTCACACAGAGATGTAAGATTGCAATTTAACACTCCTTTAGCAAGTCTTAGTCCTTCTACCCCGTGACAGATATGCCTTTCTGAAAGTTATCGTACTCAAGTGTTGGTTTGTGGGGGTTTGATTGGTTACATGAATTCACCATGAGCTGACATTAGTTAGAGAACCATTGGAAAACCACCACAGAGTACTGGACAGCTGTTTCGTCCTAGTTTGGGACTCTTCGGCAGTACGCACTCGCACACAGGAGTTAGAAACAATGACCTTCTGATTACAAGGCGACCTCGTATACCATTAAGCCACTGGGACCCGATCCAATGGCCAGTGCATGAATTCCAACTTCTGCCAATTTACGACATAGGGCGACCCCTAGCCAATGTCTTCGGTGAGTATTAGTCCTCACACCCGACCTGCTGCACCTTACTGGTCACGACTTCTCCCAGGTTTTCCAATGGTTCTCTAACTAATGTCAGCTCATGATGAATTCCTGCAAGTTATCGTACTGTTCATCAATATATAGATAAATCTTAAATTCAGAATATTCTAGTCACTATACATTATTAAATTACGCTGAAATATATTAAGATATTCTCACCATGTTGTATTTTAGAAGTTACAAATTCTAGTCGTAATTTTGGGCTATATAGCTGAACTATGCTGTAACAGAAATGGGTGATTATATGGTATATCCCTTTTTTGAAGCTGCGCCACCTGCTTTTTCCAGTGGGTATTAGTCCAAAATATACCAGCATGATTTCATGAAAATTCGATAATACACTCTTAACTTCTGAACCTCCTACCGCCTTTAATCCATTACAAAATTTCATAGATATTTGTATCAAGCTAAATTTTCTGATGAAACTGCAGCAAATGTAACGCAGTTCAAGAATATAATGCCGCCGATAATACGTACACCAGAAATAACGGTTTTAATGTAAAATTTCATTTTAAAAAATATACAAATAATATAACTTGTCATTAAACCAGCATAGCAACGGGCTACGACGCTACACTTAGTAGGGATATGCAATAAGGCCACTCGATAGAAACTGTATTAGTCGAAGATTGAATGGACGATTTTTGTTACTTTGTAGTATGTGCTACTGACAATGCTTGTAAGTAGTATGTAGATACAGATATAAATGTGTATGTCACCTCTGTAAGAATATCGAATACAACGCAAAGTTGGATCGATGTCATAGTGAAGGGCAGAAATGAAATGACGCTTGTGAAACAACCAGGAAAATACGAAAGAAAGAAAAAAAGCAAAATACCAAAGGTAAGTGCAAATTGTGAGTCCAGTATACTACAGACGTATCAAATTACCAATAAATATTCCGTTGTCAAATACTCTTATGATCTGCCATTACAGACTTACCAACATGCTATATGAGCATACTGATGGAATGTTATTAACAACACTAAAGGCAGAAGATACAAAAAGTGGTAGAGGGCTGTTTTATTAAGGGAAAACACATCATATTTATGCATGTTTAAGCCCATTAAAAGTCGTCTAGATCAATGGATAATAAACTGTTCTGATTAGTTGGCGATTAGCCTAAGGTTAAACAATGAAACACATTTATCAACCTGAAACCAATCTGGAAATCTTCGTCATTCAGCCTGAATCAACAAAAAAATTCGGATTTTCAATACGAACGTCAAGTCAGTTTTGCTATACGGATCAGAAACTTGGCGGGTCACCAAGAATATTTTCAACAGGTTGCAGACCTTTATCAACAACTGTCTTCGTTCTACACTGAAGATTAGATAGCCGGAAAGAATCACCATCAAGAAACTATGGGAACAAACGAAGCAAGAAGCAATCGCCCAACAAATATGCAGGAGAAAGTGAAGATGGATTAAACACTCGCTGAGGAGGCCGTTGGGTGACATCGCGCGTCAGGCCAACGCTCGAGTGGAACCCGAAAGGGAAGCGGCGAGTGTGACGTCCAAGAGTGACATGGAGGAGATCGTGTGAAGAGGAGTTGAAACAGTTTGGACTAAGATGGATGCAGGTGAAAAGTACAACAGAAGACAGAAGGAGGTGTAGACGTGTAGTTGAAGCCCTATATTCCACTAGGAACCCAAGGGAACAATAAAAATAATAAACAATCAAACGAAAAGTTGTCCATTGAGATTATCCCATGTCTACAAGATAAACTAGATCCGTATTTGAGGAATAAGCACTCCTACCTCTGCAACTAGCCATTGACTTAAACTGTTATTTTCAATTTTGGTTACTTTCTCCCAATGAGCATCTATATACTACTGACAAATCAGTGTCAGTAGCCCACAAACACCACACAATTACTACAATATTCCCTTTATGATGAAAAGGGGAAAACAGGTTGACTAAGGGCGCATTTGCTATGTTTTCTCAGCCATTTTCGCCTTTACACTCTAAAATTATCCAATATGACAAGTATCTGATGTCACTACGATTAATTATAATTCCCTTGGTTTCCAAGTGGAACATAAGGCTTCAGCAACATATCTGCATTTACCACGTTCTTCGTAGTATTTTTCAGCTGGCTCAATCCACGATTCTTTTGATTGGACACTATTTAGTAACTAGTGTTGTGATGTGTCTAGTCTTATGTTTGGTGCAGACTGAATTCTGTCAGTCACGTTTGCAGTGTGGCCACCATTCTAGACGGCTCACTATCACGGTGCACTGTGAATTGTTGATATTAGACGGTTGTAGGCAATCCCCTACAGGAAATCTTGCCTCACCTAGATTTTTTGCTAGTTGGCACTCACCAGTCAGCAAGGCGTATCTGCAGTCACCTTGAAGGAACTCCCTTCTGAGATTCGAACCCGCATCACCCAGTGCTGAATCCAGAAACGTTACCACTGGGGTTGCTGTTCGGGTTCAAGACTGACCTCCTGTAGGACTTAGTGGTAACGTCTCTAACTGCAGCTCTCACTGCGTGACACGGGTTCGAATCTCACAAGGGACATGAGTTCCTTCAAGATGACTGCAGATACGCCTTGCTGACTGGCGAGTGCCAACTAGCACAAAATCTAGGTCCAAGGCTTTCTGCCAATGGTCAAGATTGCTCATAAAATTCAATTTTCTCCTCACACAATCTCCTCCGTATCACCC